CCCTTAGATGATTTTGGCTGTGTTGAGATGAGTGGTGTTATGCTAATCAGGTAGGCCTATATTATTTCTAGAGGTGTCACACTGACCCGAAGTTGACCTGCCATATTTTATCTCAGAAAGTTAAGAGTCATTCTCAGGTATCTACTTTCCTACCGTTCCAACATTTCAAATTATTATCCAATAGAATATTTTAATAAATAGATCTCTAGATGAGCATAGGGATTGTTTACCCCAGAGTAGTCCCAAAAAGTCTCCTGAGACAAAGATCAGATCTGGTGGAAGAAAGATTACACCCTCAGGTGCATTTTCAGATAACCAACTAATAAAATGTTTATACTACAAGTCTCTAAAATATTTCAGACAAACTAGCAGTACAAGCAGAATGGAACATTTGACGGTTTTGAAGTTAGGCAGTCAAGAGTCCTCTGAGCTTGGGGAGTTGCGAGGAAAGTGACTTTGGTAAGTCTAGGTTAATTTATTATTCATTATAGAAGTATTTTATATATACATTGTATTAAGTTTACAGCAGAATCAAATCTAGCAAGATCCTTGTCATTCTATTCTAAAAATATAAAGTGCAGACTTTACTTCAGGAATACTAGAGAATTTTACCAAAGAATTTTACAATTATGTATTTTATTTTATATATATGGCTTCCATATTTATATTTGGAAGAATTTAAACATTTTCCCGATTTTCGCACTTTTAATCCTCAATAACTTACTGATTTACAACACATTGTAGACCTTTGAGACATATTGTATCTGAGATTGTAAAGAATAGATCGCTAGGTCAATTTTGGTTGAAAATGACACTGCAAAATATACAGAGTGGGTATGGGTATACAGGTTACATTTCATACTTTTCAATAGATTGATTTTTTCCAGGAAAATGTCCAAAAACAAGCAGAAATGGCAATGTGTTAAACATGCAACCAGGGAAACAACGACTGAGCTGTGCAAGTCATTTGAAGAAACATTTGGAAAGTGATGAGGACCAATGAGAGCTCATGCTTTCAAGGAAAAATGAACACTTAGCATAAACAATATCTGTTCCGAGAAGCAAGCCAGTTTGAATTAAATTTTTATCTCTATAACAAGTAATGGGACAGTACTTTTAAGATTGCATAGATATAATGGCATATCTGAAACATGCAATTTTTCTAGATTTATTCCCAATTTAAAATGGTCATTATTGCTTTTTGAAAATCAATACCATGTTAACTAATAGAGCATTTGTTCAAGCTCAAATTAGAATATTTATTCATTCCCGTTCAGAAAAATAACAATATAACCCCTAAACAGTTAGGCTATAGATAATTACATTCATAGTAAAGGGGGGTGAATAGATCTGCCGAGATCTGGGCACAATCTCGGAAATGAAATATCGAAATATCATACAAGGGTTAATCCCATACTTAGTAGTGTTATAGGTAAATAACATGCGGGAATATAATTGATATCTGAGTTGAGCGGGAGATATATAAGGGTTATGTACTGGGAGGTTTTGGATACAGGTTTTATCCCAAGTGAAATATGTGTATATCCCGAGGGACCGAGGGAATTCTCGGAATTCTCAAGCTAAATTACTAGTAGGTGTACAGTAATTGCACTTACCTGATGTCCCGCGTTTGGAATTGGACTTCATGTTATCTTTTGCAATTTGCACTTCATTTGCAATGATGTCATCGATATCATTATTGGGCCTACTGGTGGTACTGGGCCGAATCAGCCAACGTAAAATGGACATTACTGAAGTCCTGAAGATCGTGGATATCCAATTATCGCCCAATAACACTATACTAAACGAAAATGCATCAGAGCCCCGGGTAATAACAAATTCCCGGGGATTTTATTGGCAATTTCGCGACGATAATTTTTCGCGATTTTAACACCATCGCGAAAAGCGCGAAAGTTAATCGCACGCGAATAATACCAGGCGTACAGTATATCAACCTACGGTCCCTCAGGTAGATATATTGTATTTCCCTCAGATATACCCTCTATCAAAAATCTCCCATTAAATAACTTATATATATTAGGTATCATTGGAAAGGTAACAAGTGCAGTATTCAACTCCCAGTTTTTGAGTTTTCTTCTAACTATATTGAGCCATTATTAATGAAGAAATTCATATTTTAAAAACATGGGGGTTTATCATTTCTAAGGGGGGGGGGGGTTAGTCGCAATTTATTAGTTAAAATATGCCTAATTTAATTTTAAGACAAGCTAGAACGGCAAATCTCCCCACCCCGTTAACCGTTTAGGGGTTAATAAAATACTTAATAAAACTTATTAACGATAGGATAGATTTTTGATAGATGACATACGAGACTGTGATTATATTTAAGTTCAATTCTGTGTGTCAATATTCTCTATTTGGATGCTCAAAAAAGTTCTTGTGTATTAACTCATTAATTATTGGAAAAACAATATACATTTGTTAATAAGTCAAAGCATAAGTTAGTTGTGTTTTACCTTCACATGTGAAAATGTTAGGCTTAGTGTGTTATATATAATTTTACTGAACATCGGTGTCTACATCTTCCTGTACAGGAACTTTAAATTAGCTATATGTTCATGTAATGATTCATTTAACTGGACGTTAGTCATTACTATCACTATATCTTGTTGATGTCATAATTAAGGTTACTAGAACATTCCTTGCATGTGTTGTCCTAACTTAATGTAACCAGAAGTTATGAATTGGCCATGTATGTGACAAGCACATTACAGTCTCTTTATTTTGGCAAAGTCGTTGTTAAGGTTGGTACTACATTCCTGGCCTGTGATATCTAAGTCGAACGTAACTTGTATACTCATTTATGCGTGTCCACGCTTTCCTTTGCCTACAACGTTCTATAATTAATGTAACCAGAACTTTAACTTGGCCACGTATATGTGACGTTGCATAAGCACGTTACAGTCTGTCATTTTATTTTTGCAGTCATTGTTAAGGTTGCTGCTACATTCCTAGCACATGATATTTAAGTAAAATGTAACGTTGTATAAACATCTGTGCGAGTCCAGACCTTCCTGTGCCTACATCGTTCCAAGATAAACGTTACCAGAACTTTAAACTGGCCAGGTATATGTTACGTTGCATAAGCACATTACAGTCTCACTATTTTTGCGAAGTCATTGTTTAGGTTGGTGCTACGTTCCTGGCACGTGATATTTAAGTCAAATGTAACGTTCTTTGAACATCTGTGCGAGTCCACACCTTCCTGTACCTACAACGTTCCATAATTAACGTACCAGAACTTTAAACCGGCCACGTATATGTGACGTTGCATAAGCACATTACAGTCTCGTTATTTTTGCGAAGTCATCGTTTAGGTTGGTTCTACGTTCCTGGCACGTGATATTTAAGTCAAATGTAACGTTCTTTAAACATCTGTGCGAGTCCACACCTTCCTGTACCTACAACGTTCCATATCAACGTTACCAGAAATTTAGATTGGCCACGTATTTATGACGTAATGTAAGTACGTTACATTTTCGTTATTTTCGCGAAGTCATCGTTTATGTTGGTTCTACGTTCCTGGCACGTGATATTTAAGTCAAATGTAACGTTCTTTAAACATCTGTGCGAGTCCACACCTTCCTGTACCTACAACGTTCCATATCAACGTTACCAGAAATGTAGATTGGCCACGTATATATGACGTAATGTAAGTACGTTACAGTTTCGTTATTTTGGCGACGTAATTGTTAAGGTCGCTACTACGTTCCTGACACGTGATATTTAAGTCAAATGTAACGTTCTTTAAACATCTGTGCGAGTCCACACCTTCCTGTACCTACAACGTTCCATATCAACGTTACCAGAAATTTAGATTGGCCACGTATTTATGACGTAATGTAAGTACGTTACATTTTCGTTATTTTGGTGACGTAATTGTTAAGGTCGCTACTACGTTCCTGACACGTGATATTTAAGTCAAATGTAACGTTCTTTAAACATCTATGCGAGTCCACACCTTCCTGTACCTACAACGTTCCATATCAACGTTACCAGAAATTTAGATTGGCCACGTATATATGACGTAATGTAAGTACGTTACAGTTTCGTTATTTTGGCGACGTAATTGTTAAGGTCGCTACTACGTTCCTGACACGTGATATTTAAGTCAAATGTAACGTTCTTTAAACATCTATGCGAGTCCACACCTTCCTGTACCTACAACGTTCCATATCAACGTTACCAGAAATTTAGATTGGCCACGTATATATGACGTAATGTAAGTACGTTACAGTTTCGTTATTTTGGTGACGTAATTGTTAAGGTCGCTACTACGTTCCTGACACGTGATATTTAAGTCAAATGTAACGTTCTTTAAACATCTATGCGAGTCCACACCTTCCTGTACCTACAACGTTCCATATCAACGTTACCAGAAATTTAGATTGGCCACGTATATATGACGTAATGTAAGTACGTTACAGTTTCGTTATTTTGGCGACGAAATTGTTAAGGTCGCTACTACGTTCCTGACACGTGATATTTAAGTCAAATGTAACGTTCTTTAAACATCTGTGCGAGTCCACACTTTCCTGTACCTACAACGTTCCATATCAACGTTACCAGAAATTTAGATTGGCCACGTATTTATGACGTAATGTAAGTACGTTACATTTTCGTTATTTTTGGTGGCGTAATTGTTAAGGTCGCTACTACGTTCCTGACACGTGATATTTAAGTCAAATGTAACGTTCTTTAAACATCTATGCGAGTCCACACCTTCCTGTACCTACAACGTTCCATATCAACGTTACCAGAAATTTAGATTGGCCACGTATATATGACGTAATGTAAGTACGTTACAGTTTCGTTATTTTGGTGACGTAATTGTTAAGGTCGCTACTACGTTCCTGACACGTGATATTTAAGTCAAATGTAACGTTCTTTAAACATCTGTGCGAGTCCACACCTTCCTGTACCTACAACGTTCCATATTAACGTTGCTACAACTTGAGACATATATTCTGACGACGTTATCACAACGTAAAATTGTTAGCTGGGTTAGCTGTATTCGCACTTAAATAGAACAAGAGCATGTTCACAATATCATCTATAAGTAAGGCTATGTCGCATTGTCCTATCAATTATTGCTTGATGATCATGACTATGATCGGTCGTGATTATTCTTATTAGTTAAATTAAGTTAATATTTGTAAGTACAATATAATATAATGCATAATGCAATATTGGAGCCCTATGTGAGAGATTCAATCTTCGTATTATTACCTTGGCAATGATTCTATTGCGACGTCTGTGTTTTCATATTGCTTCTCCACAGCAGCAACCAAGGCATATGGATCGCTCGGCTTCCTTTTAATTTTGCCATCAGTCCCATTCTGACCGCCTTCGTTCTGGAGCTCTAAGTATACATGAGATTCAGCGTTGGTGGCCGGTATCTCAACATTGTCATATATTCTTGAGAGTCGATTGCCATCTTTTTCTAACGGGTCTTCAGCTAAGAGCTCGAGTTCTTTCCTTTTCCTGTTTTGCAAATATACAAAAATGATTAAAAATTACAAACGAGTTAGTATTAAGTTCCCAATATTGATAGCAATCTATAAAATCAGAAATCGGCAATGTTAGTGCAAAATGGTTCGAAAATAAGTGACCTTCTCAAATATGGGAATTGTCAAACTATAGCCTATTTGTTAAAAATTTGAGCAAATTGTTTACAAATTTCAATTTCCCATCTTATAAATATGTCACTGTGGGACATTGAATTTAGGTGTCCGCCAAAATTCAACTTAATGTACTATGTCAGTGTTAAAAAGTAAAACAGACTCTTCCTCCTACTGTCTCTTATCAAATAAAATAGAAATGTACGTATGTACACAAAAAGTGCTTCTTACCTAATCGTATCCCTCCTGACCAGACATACAGCAAGTATGATGAAGATCACTACAAGAACCGAGCATACACTAATACCAGCAATGGCACCGGGGGTTAGTGCCTGATTAGCTGTTGTCGCTAGCAATATCATCTAAAATTAAATATTCGGAATGACATGCATTCCATCTGTGATAGTATGTTGTATTGTAACCCCCCCCCCCACCCTCAAAAGATTAGTAACGTGAAGCCCCATTGGATAGAAATATAGATTTTTAACGTCGCCTGTTTATGTTTGAATCTCTATTCTTTTCCTCAGGTGAAATATGATTGATGAATTTGTTAAATTTTTCACTGATGTCACAAGGATTCAACATGTACAAATCTATATTTATTGTAAAAGCCAATCTATAATTCTATTCATCAAGATATGCTAATAATTCTTATACTAACATGTAATCCATAGTTGTCACGAATTTTGCCCAAATTATTTTCGAGACATCGTTCTAACTGATGCGTTGTAAGTGCAGGATTTGCTTCATCATGAATGTCCTTTATGTAAAACTCAACGTTCAATGTCCTACCACTCTCGTCTTCAAATGCCTGGATTATCATGACATCATCGGGCCTGAGATTTTGAAAATAAATAATTTTTCATTAAAGGCTATTTAGACAGTTTGAATTTGACCTCACCTTTGATCTACAAAATTAAATACCGATTCGACTTATGAAGTTCTTTTTGAATTACTGAATCGACCGGTTTTTACAAATTATCAAGCATCTGATGCAGTTTGTCCATAAACCGAGGGTCTACTAATAATGAGGAATAAGAATTCGCCAGTAAAAAGTTCAATTGTGATATTAATAAGGAATCTCGTACCTTATATGCTTCTCGGATCCCCTACAATTGGATGGATTTGGTTTGCAGTATTGACTGACATATCGTGAGATAGCTGTCTTAAAGTTCGTATGGACTGTTGATTCAAACTGGAATTTTATAATTGTAATTAAGTTAACATGTCTCGATTAGATCATCACTTATCATCCGTAATATTTTGATACTCATTATATCTTTTTGTTTTCAACAAGAAACATTTCTAGAAAAGAACTAATAGATGGCGCCATGATTTCTCATGATTGATTACCAGTTACTTTAATAGATAAATATTACAAATATTGTGAGATGTTATTATGACATGTGCCTTCAATGAATGCATTGAGGATTCAGATTTTCCAAAAGACATACTATTATTCAGCTATACCGGACCGGGTTATTCAAACCAAGAACTATTATTAATCGATAATGACTTGAAAAAAACAAAAGTGGTGAAGTAGCTTTTATGAACTGAATTCAAAACAGGGAGTCATTTCAAAATTGGAGACTTCAGCAAATGCCCCTGTTCATCCATTTACCATTTCCTTAGAGATTCCTGGTAGTTGTACCATGACTTTTCCTTTATCGGCAGCTAAAAAAGAGATATTTTATTCAATAAGAAGATACCTTGATATCTTAGACATCATGTATTTATTTACGCTCGCTTTTAAATAGTGGCACAATGACATGGGCAGTAGTAGTGTAGTGTTCAACCCTTCTTTTCATATAAACTGGACTGTGTCTGTGCAACAATATGACCTGCCTTCCTGTAACAGATTTCGTAAAACATTTTGTTTTCTCCATTGAAACCCATTTCGTGGTCGATGCGTGCACTAAGCACATAATCTCTCGTTAAAAATGTCATTTAGCAATCTAGCATCATCAAAAACCGATAAATTCACAGTTTTAATTTCTCGCTGTTGTAACACAGACACCACTCTGAAGGTCTGAAAAACACAGAGAGGCGTCACTGTTACAAAAGCGAGGAAACTGCTAACATGGCGCTTCATGATTATGCTGGGTGAACATTAATTGATTTTTTTAACCAAGAAAACATGTGCTAACTGCATGCATACGATGATGAAGAAAATCGTTCGAAATGGGTTTAAATGGAGAAAACAAAACATCCCCAAAATCTGCTACCGGAAGTCGTAGAAATTTTGTTGCACAGACACAGTGCATGTGTTATACGCGGAGACGCAATGATTGTTATTTTACAGGGTGGTCAAAAACGTAATTCTCCTCATATCTTTGTCATTTGAGGGAATTACTCCGTGATATTTTACACACTTGTACATCATTCAATTCTCTATTAGCCTACCATATTTCATAACCATCAGATGATAGTCACAACTCACAATGTTACAGTACTATAAACAATACGCCCTTGGTGCGGCCATCATTACGCTATAAGGCAAACCTGTACATGTTGTCTATGACCCGACTGCAATCCTCAGTAGGTATGGCTTGAATGACAATTATGATCTTCTTTTTGAGGTATGTAATTGTCCCGAGGTCATTTTTGTTCACTTTATCTTTGGCATATCCCAAAGGTAGAAGTTAGGTATGAACATTTTGGAAGATGGGTGCAGGTTTGCCCACATCGCAATATTGGCCTCTGGAGCATGATGTTTAAAGTGCTGTTACATTGTAACTATCAACCTGATGGTCATGAAATATTGTAGGCTGGTAGGAAATTGATACACATGTTCCAAATATCAGGGAGTACTTTTTTAAAATTACAAAGATATGAGGAAAATAGCGGCAGAGTTGCCGTTTTATTTGACCACCCTGTATTGTTTTTTAACATTCGTGTCATTAAGAATCTCCCTTATGTTACTATTACAGTATTTCTTACAGCATTTTTCTTAAAACTTAGCAGTAAGCTCAAATGCAACATCATAGAGAACTATCACATCATTTAATAAACAATTTATCATATCAATCAAGGCCATAGTTTATTATAACTAGGACGAAGAAAAAAGCATACATCTTACCTGTTTGTGCTCTTACCACAGCAAAGAGGCAGATTTGTAAAGCTAAGACAATAAATATAAGTTTGAGTCCCATTGTGACCTCGAAAAATTAGAACAATTTCGAAAAGTCAAAACGAATTTAATCGAACTTATCCTTGAAAAAGGTTGTGTTTTCCAAGTAACTCAACTGAGTTGTTACATCTGCGTACTGTCCATGTTATCCTTAGGGAGTCATTGCATAAGAAATATATTCTAAGTAAACCAGTGTGTTAGTTCAGGTATTCACTCGGCATCGGCACCCAAATCAAAATTCAGATCGGGTATCTTTGATTTACATACTTAAGTGCATGTAATATGCGATTACTGCATGACTTTGGACCTTACATCTACTTGGACGTAGGTTGACTTTGGGCACCACCAATTGATTTTAGTAGTTTATATCCACAGATCCTATGATATCAATATATCTTTTGGGATAACCATTGAAATTTCAAAAGGGGCAAAATAGATATAGAGGGATTCAACCTACTCCAAAAATACTCTTGAATAAAACTAAGAAAATATTTAGATTGACAAATACATTTGAAAAAGACCCTGAAGATGATTAAAGAGAGGTCCAATCTTATAAGATAAGGTCCGGCTCAAAAAGTGATTCTCCAACTTCAAATGATCCGCCCTGTAGCATTATCTTGTGGTGTGCAAGTCTTCTTTATAATCATTTATTGTTTACAAATGTTTATCTGGTAGAGCACCTCTTATGTGAGATATATAGTTCAATGTTAATAATTAATCTTTTTGATCATCTTGTGTATTGCAACTCCATATAAATAACCCTATCAATGTCAGGGTCAACTTAAAAGAGATAATGTACAGTATAACTAAATTTTGTTCTATTTTCGACGAATATCTAGGGATCTTTAGCAATAACTATAACAAGTTCAGAAAGGCCTCTTTAATGTTCTGTTTAAGACTCCTTATCTTATTACTTGTAATTGATTTCGGAGATATTCCGTACATATTCAATTTGATCTTGAGTTCTTCTGAAATAATGTGGATTTCAGCAAGGGTCTGTTTTTAAAATTATTTTGTAATATCATTTTCTGCGCCCCATAAGCCTTTATTTTGACCAACATGATATAAACCAAGGAAGAACTTGGACATCCATGACATCCAACTCACTAAGCTTTGATAAATATGACTGAAAAACGTTTGATTTTGTATTATATATCATGAAATTAAAATCAGACCCTGCAAAAGAGGTGGGCATTCTGTACTTAACGTAAATATGACTCTAGTTTCTTTTTATTCCTCCCTGTGGAAACATGTAGTTTATATTTACCCGTATTACTATTACGAGTCTCATACATAACTATTTTTTGATAGTCAAATTATTTTTGCTCTTGTGATATATTATTTCATATATATGCTGATATATGCCTCATAATGTCAGTGTGAATAACATGTACCTTTTTTGTTAAATAGATTTTTCGTAATTAATAAGTTAGCCATCGGTATTTTCACTGTTCCACAACTACGGAACGTCAACGGAACGTCAATGTAACAAAATGGATGAACTTCCGTATACGTCAAGTTGCGGATTATCATTTGGCACAAAGTTAGACAACATAGTCTAGCTTTTAGAAATGCTCTCGGTTTGGAATTTGATTTTTAAATAAAGCTGTAGTTTATGCATTTAGACCATCGCTTTTGTTACATTGACGTTAGTCGTCAAAGTAACATGCATTGGTAATACAACGGACTTTTGTCAATGTAACAAAAGCGAGGAGCTTAATATATGAATTGCAACTTCATTTACAAAACAAATTCCAAATCGAAGAAACTGCCAAATTATAATCTGCAACTTGACTTATAAGTAGGTTTAAATCGAGAAAACAAAAAACTCGTAACCAGGAAGTTCATCCATTTTGCTACATTGACGTTCCGTCAAAGTAACTAGTTGTGGAACAGTTGTGGAAGAGTGACATAGATGAAATAGTGTTCATTCAATTTTCATTCAACTCCTATAATCTCGGTTAGCAGGGAAGATAAAAAGTACTAATGACCGGTCACATGATCTTACTAAGAATTAGTACTTTTCATCTTCCCTGTTAGCAGGGATTTATGACTTTCCAGGGAATTGGTTCACCTAGTTCATATCATGTGACCATGAATAAGCCAATGAGCATCTAGAATACATATGTGGAATATAATAATACCGTCTATCACACTCTCCGTCATGCAATAATGCTATATTATACATTCTCCTCCATGAGTTTGGCAACCATAAGCTTCTAATGGACAGTGCAATTTGCCTTGTTTGATTTTAGTTTTTTCCTCATCCACAATCGGATGAATACCATTAATGGGCTCTAATAACTGACACTGACTTTGTGACAAAGATACATTTATTAACATCGCCAAACATAACATAAACAGACTTAAGCAAAAATGAAAGTTACCCTTGCCAAATTTTGGTGGGGAGTGTAAGATTATATAATTCAGGTAAAAACAAATACATGATGTTTCATTTTGCGCCAAACTACAACCATATTTATTTTAACACCAGCGTTTTATTTTACAATAAACTGAATGCAGGGACCTCCATGCGTTCCGTTTCTGATTCCCTCTATGTACAGTGTGTATTATGAAAAATAAATTTAACTAAATGATTTTAGAATATAATATTATCAATATATCATCTTTAGATAAGTAAGTCTTGTCCTTTTCTTGTTGATAGGCCTCATGTATGCATTACCGTAGTATTCTAAGCTGTAGACATTCATAAGTGATTCATTGTTGTTGTAACCATGGATATCATAACGTCAGAGAGAACCAATTCATAGCTAGGAATGCCTATGGGAATGCACCGTTTGGATTATGTGGTAGTTCCACATGAGGCTAGTTTTCTATACAAGTGACTTGTTCGCCCGATACGCAACGAGTGGTTGTCTCTGTACTGTCAGGAACAAGGCTCCATCCATCTGGACATTCAAATGGGCTACAAACCTTCTGAGCAGCAACACCGCCGATATCCGCTGAAAATCATTTAATATGTAAATGATAATACAATCATAGAGTAAATGTTTTATTCTAACTTTTTTACTGTATACAGTATTACTCTTATTTGATATCAAATCTAAGCGCAAGTACATTTGAATATATGTAATAATGACATTATGTCAAAACATCTTCTTGATGTTAAGTATGACGTCTATATTGTGTATTTCTAATATAAGAATAAAAGACCTACGGGTACACTCGGGCTCCGTGCCGGACCATTCTCCGTTCGACAAACACGTACGTTCTTCACTTCCACTTAGCGTGTAGCCGTTTTTGCAACTATACACACGGAGATCACCGCGTCGTCTACCATTTCCTTCTGTTTTCCCATTGTCTACCTTTATATCATCACATTGCTTGACACGGTCTGACTCTAAACAGAAAGAACACACCATCTACCCTAATACTATCACATTATCTACATTAATATTATCATATTGTGTACCCTAATATTATCACATTTCGGTAAGCAGGTAAACGATCTTAACAGAAAGAACACATTGTCAACCATACTAGAGAGATTTCGCAACCGTACTTATGGCGTGTTTATCCAGACCCTTATCAAATGTTTATCAAGACGAGGGGAAATCCAAGAGCTTAACACTAAAACTGAATATCAAAAAATCCGAAAGACGGTAACATGGAAATGAAACCCAGCATGCCATCTTAAGAAATGCTACCAAATCATGAATATTCAAAATATCCCGCGCCATTGAATAACCATTAACCCAATCCAATCACAAAACATGTTACTTACTTTGGCAAACAGTTTCGGTTCCAGTCCATTCGCCATTGTATTGACACGTTCGGGATCGACTTCCACCTATAATTTCATAACCATCATCGCACTCAAAAAATTGTTCGCAGTTTGGCCAGATGTTACAGGTGCTAACTGTGGAACCATCCTCGGGATCAGCCAGGGTAGGGCAGGGAATGGCTGAAATTATTATCCATAAACAAAATTCTTGAGTAATTCCTGAAACTGTTATGGGTTAACAAAATACTCGAAGATAAGTAGCAGTAAAAATATTTATATTTTGATAGGTGTGACTGTGCGTGATAGCAATCAAGATATGTGATCAATTTAAATTGAATTGTTCTTGGGACAAAATCGCTCTTGAATAAAATAAAATAACCGAGATGTACACCTGCTCCATAAGTTTGGAAACATCTTTATTTTACCTAGTATCATATTGGTGTCTACAACAGTTTACGTATTCATTACTTTGGTGTTTTTTTTCAAATCAAAACACATAAACAGACTTTGAAGGGGTCTCCTTGTTGCCAAACTTATGGAAGGGGTGGGTACTCACGACAAGGCTGGGCGTTACACTCCTCAAATTTAGTTAAAGGTCGAGCACAAATCATAACTTTCCCCTCCTCGTCATAGCAGACTTCTTCATATTCGCGTTCCCCAGCTCCACAGGTCACACTGCATTCTCCAATTGGTTTCCAAAGCTCCGTTACAACGCTACCCACTATAATTTCAATAACAGTAAACTGAATACTAGAATATAGTATATGAATACCTATCGATGTGAAAAACTCCTTTCAGTCCAATGTTTAATCTATTATTATGAATATTCAAAACGTTCAAAATGTGAACATCTGCAAGGCCTAATCTGGACACCTTTGGCCGGTTCGAATGTTCGTATCAGACAGGTATTAGACAGGGTGGGCCAAAAAACGTCCATAATTTTGAAAATGCGTAGATTCCAATAAAAAGGTTAGCAGTAAATACAGAAATCAATTGTACAACTGTTCTCGAAGTGGGATAAATAAATCTCTAGGGTTCTTGATTCATAAAGGTAAAATCCCCCCCCCCAAAAAAAGCTCATCTTAGTCCCCCACAATTCCAGTTATTTCTAGGCCTCTTATGGATAAGATCTTGATTCACAAAGTTTCAATTGTTCATATCTCAAGATGGTGGATAAGAACAGCTTACCTTTCTCACATTCAAGACCAGTTGCGCCTGTGGGGCAGTCACATGTCATTTTGTTTGGCTCCTGTGAGTTAGTACATGTTCCTCCATTTCGACATGGTTGGGGCCAGCAATTGTCAACATCTATGTAACAAAAGGTTGTAAGTTAGTACACTCTCATCCGTAAAGTTTGCAGCTGGAATGCCATTTTGAATCACTTATGAAAGCCTTATCTGGCCTTTTAAAATGAATTCGTCGTCATTAAATCTTCAAGTATTGCGATTACGAAGAAAATTAGGATTCAAACTATTCTGACATTAAAAATGACTGCCATGACTAAGCCAATGTGTTCAAATTCGAAAAGACATTCCTGAAATTTAAATGTGGTATGGATTTAGTGAAGACAGACATACATACACACATACACGAAGACGGACGGACGGACGTGTCTAGGCCGACATATGGCACACTTGGTAGGTCTATACGCGTCTACCGATAATGAACCAGGTTAGGGTGCAAAAGCATGACTAGGGCGGTGCCAATTTTTGAATCTAAATTCCCAATACCATGTTTAATATCGACTTTTCAGTGACTTGATGTCAACGATATATTGGAGTGCTTGGAAGCTCTCATATTTTTCTGGATTTCTCTAATCGAAGTTAAACATGCCTATGAGATGTATATTGCATGTCATTTACATCGTATTTGATGTGTAGGAATAAATAATGTTTAAATTGGAAGTACAAAAGAGATGTTATAATGAAAATTTGACACGGGGAAGTCTATACTAAGCGAGATATCGCCTCTGTTACGCTATTACGCCCACCCGATTCATTATCGGTGGTTGCGTATAAATATCAAATGCACTTACTTTCTGATTTGACGTATCTCTTGATCACAAATGGTACTTTTGCGATATCTTTAACCCTCTCCCTCAGTTCATCTCTACATGTGTCGCTGATGTCATATTTCATCGTGACGTAGAATTCAGAATAATATGATGCATGTAAGACAATTTTTTCATTACCAACTTCTTTCGTGGCAATATCTGGTGACGATCTCACACATATGGTTTCTGCTGGACCGAAGGGGGTGGAGATAGAATTACCAATAGGGCACCATTTGAAGTTACCCTGATAACTAAATGCAAATTTGTTTGGACAGCTTTTGAATTTTGGAGACACAACAGTTGGGTATAGTTTACTGAACAAGCCTGTTGTTATTGTCATACATACTACATACTGCTCATCATTACACTGCAAGTCAGGAAGAAGCATGGCCATAGATTCGATGTAGTTGGCCTTTTCAAATTCATCCGCGCAGTCAATCCATTGATTCTCCAAAAGCCATATGGGATCGTTTGGAAGCTTAAACGATACCGTATCCCCCATGAGAAGTGCGTTCATGTCAATCGTGTACTTTTTATCCACGTTTGGAACACTTGGATTGTATGTCGGAACATAAACGCTGTATTCAATATCAGCCTCTTCGCTTACAACGAGGGACATTATTTGGTCAATCGCATCTCTTGTGAAGTAATCATGTTTGCAAACACTAGGTCTCCTACCCCCGTTTCTAAACTCTATGGTGCTACATATCTGGATAGCTATCGACTGCAAACGTGCCTCGTCCAGAACAAGCACATTGATGATTTCATGCAGGTTTATTTGTGTCTCCGTAGAACCGATGAATTTCACATGTTCTTTGGCAATATGAAGTCCAAGAATTCTGCTAATCACACCTCCTTTGTCATCGATGTAGCCAGATAATGTCCCAATTTTACCTAAATGGTAATGATACAATGTGTGTTAATAGACATTCAGACTCTATCACCATTTTCCACAAATTTATAGAGGGTAAGACTGATGATGCCGTGGCACTGACAGCAATGTTCATTTATTGACAGCTGTGCAAAACATTTACTCGATTTGGTTAAGACAAAATGTGAAGCAACAACTAGTAGTGTTGAATCAGTAAGGAAAGAGTTGCACCTTCTAATTAAGTTTCGTTCTCACAGGAATAGCTAACCTATAGAAGTTGAGAGTCGATGACATCACTTCCTGTGTGAAATTTTAAAAGATGGCAGCTTACTGGAATTGAGCATCACATTTCTAAGTGATCAAATTTGACCATATCAAAACATTTTTGCGTGTTTTGCTAAACATGGCAAGCATATATATGGTTATAGCTACCATAGGAGGAGAGAGATGGTTTGGCAAGGAATATTCCTTTAAGGCCTAATGGCCGAAACTATGTACTTGCAATAAATGTGATGTACTTATGATTATACGTGATATTTGATGACCCACTTAGTCAAGATTCCTGTCACTAATCCAAAATCGTATTCTAAAGGTTTAAATTCTTATTCTGCTTAGTTTCAAATTAATCATCTTTCTGTTTATAAATATTTCAAACTTTCAATCAAGTATAACTTGCAATACGTTCATTTTCAGACGTGGTCAACATCAATAGTAAAACATTTTTGAAGAATCCAATTCTTAATCTTATGCAGCGATTTTAATAAATTGTTGGCAATGTATTCAGCATTTTTCTTTTTTGTAACATTGCCATACATGTGCATGTGCATTACAATATGTCGTTTAATAGATAGGGATACCTGCGCACTTTAACAAGTAATGCCCCCGAAGCTTCGATGGATTCCCAAAAAACGAATTATTTTTCTAATATTCATAATATCTATCTCATTCTGTAACAAGAATGACGGATTGTTACAATCGAATTAGTGATAGTAAATATTCACTCTCCAGAATCAGGTCCGGGTACGTACATTTAAGTTCCTCGTTCTGGGATATTAATACAGTGAGTGTGGGAAATATTCGCTCTTCCAAACAAAGCTCACTTATCTACCATGCATTTAATTGATTGATGAAAAGTAAGTAGAAAAATATCACGGCATCCCATGTGTTCATCCAATTCCAGAATGAGAACGTGACAGTGAGATATAATGAGATATAAATATATAAAATATTTACCCTCAAGTTCAGCCAGACTAGCGAGCATTTTTGGGCATTTTAATACGAAAAAGTTGGTAAGCCCAAGAGCTATAACCCCTGATGCAATTGCCTCCGTTTCATAGTAGTATTCACAAACTCTTCCCATATGATTTGAGTATTCTGTGAATATTGATGCGGCCTTTGAACCCGATATCTACAATGAAAGATTTATAGATACTGAAGACGCCTAATCACTTACCACAACTAAAACAAGATACTTTTACTTTGACAAAATGGATTCGCACATGACAATTTTAGAGAATATAGTCATGTTTACAGGTTTAAGAACATACCTTCGGTTTGGAATTTGTGTTTTATACCCGCAATTTAGTCCTTCGCTGCCTTTAGTTACACTGACAATGTCAATGGTATTACCAATGTCATTTTGACTATGGTATATAGAAAACAATGAAACAAATCATAACTATGTATTCACACATACATGTAGCTAGGCAAGGTGTGTCCGATTCCAGCCAATCCGAACAGAGTATTCACATAATGCACAGTGTGTGAAATATCAATAACATATGCAAGTTCACTAGTTAAATAGTTGTCAGATGAATGGATTTTTAACATTAGATTTGATGACTTGCCAACTTGACCCTTGCAAAAAAATTCATTGAAAATGTGCTCTTTTAGTGATTTTGTTCCTTTTAGATGATTTTATAGAAAAAATATGCAATGTGTAAAAAGAATTTAAGCCCAAGACTCAATGCATTGTAGCTACTTCATTCCACTGAGGCGTTGTTTCCTAAACTTTGCATTCCCGCTGCACGGTTATGCAAAGGTTTGGAAACAACTCCTTCATGGTATGATTCAGCAAACAATGCATTGAGTCTTGAGCTTAAATCCTTTAATATTCCATACTTACTCCCACTGACGGAGTGCCTCCATATTGATTTACAAAATCAAGAAGCTTCCTATTTATAATTTCTATTTCATCGCCCTCAGCAAATTTAAGGTCATCTTCGATGAAATTCAGAGAATCTTCCAATGCATTAATTTCATTTTTAGCCTGTAATAAATATTTTGTCATAAAAGTGTTGTAACCAGCATGAAATAATTATCAGATTTAACAATGATTTCTCATTTATCACGTTGTAATCAAAATCCGTTTTTAATGATTCTCCCCTATGCAGCTTGTGCATAGCAGTTCATTTTATAATGGAAAGCTGCTTTCTAGTTATGCAATTACATGAATTAACACTGGAATTTAAATGATATTATAAGCCATACTCAATTCTGTTTAATGAACAATAGTATATGAAACTACCCTGAAAGCAGAGTCTAGTTCTTAACTAGACGAAGCTCTCTTTAAAGAAGTGAAGTCGAACGAATGCAAAGGGTAATATGAAACAAATAATTCTTGATTTCACTTTAGTTTAGTACATCTTTCATTATGGTTATCAATGGTGACATGGTTGATATCATATTTCGTTTGTAAACAATAAATGTCTTATGAATGCGTTATTTTCAAAATAAATAGCTCATATAACTGTACCAGTTCTATATCAGCCAGAATACTATCTACATTTGTTCTCATTCTCTCCTCCACTTGAATCCACATCACGGCGATGGCGCTATTCTTGGTTACGGTCGATAATAAGGCTGCAAGTTCCCAAATGTCGCTTCCCTATATGAAAACCAATGTCAAAAAAATTATACCTTGGGCCATATTTTTTTACTCCACTGGTTGTATATTTCAAAATTTATTGAATATGGTGATGATTGCTGCCATCTAAGTACCATATTGAAACAGGCCGTATGTTATAATGTATTCCTCTTCAACATCCAATTTAGTTAATGGATTTATCAAAACAAGTTTTTATCCAGGTCTACTGTGATAATAACAAACTAGCGCCTGATTAATACTAGGCCGGCAATGTATGAGAAGAATTCTAAGACACGTGAAACCTCCTACATCTGAAATATGCGCTCAATTTCGAACTGTATGGCATCGCGTTCTCCACGTAAATATTGTCACTCGGTATGAAGCATTTTTCTTACTGTACATTAATGCTATTTATTCATTCTTTTTTGCACCTTTGGTTATCTAACAAATCAAACCTTACCATCTACTTCATCAGCTTAGAGATAATATGGTGTTGGAATGTCCTAACAAAATAAGTACCTCAGGTTTTAGGTGCGGCTCTGGGAACCAAGAAGGTGGGGGGGGGGGGCAAATTTCAGGTAAGAAAAAAAAATTTGGGCCCCTAAAACTCAAAAGTGGGCCCAAATTTTGAAATTTTGAGGCCTATTTTCTTCAAAATTTGGCCTGACATAAAAAATAAAAGGCCCAGTAATGACCAAAAAGGCCCACTTTTTGGAGCCTTAAGGCCTTTTTTGAATCAAAATTCTTTTTTGGGCCCAATTTTTTTTCTGGGCCCACCCAAGGGGGGGGGAGATCCGCCAGTGGGTTGAATTCTATAAGGAACATATCACATACCGAACAGGGAGCGAGGATGACTGAGCTTGCTACACACCCAGCAATAGTCGCAGCGTTAGTCGCGATGAGCTCTACTAGTTCAGCTGCAACCATCACACCAGCACGTATGTGAAGTTGCTGGAAGTCATCTTCAACATCCTCTGACATGGATTTAACTGTTGCGAGAATGCTTTCGAAAAAGGAGTTGATTGTAGCCAAGTCTTGTCTTGCAATTTCGATGTTATAATCGATCTTAAACAATTAAAACATGTACGAGTTAAACACGGAAGTAACGTCATTATCAATTTTAATATAAAATGAATGTTTAGTTGTGTCTCATAAGCCCAAGCATGGCTGGATATTTGCCAACAGGAGTCAAATAAATGAGTAATATAAAGAAATAGATGCTTAATAATAATATACTTGTAGCTTCGGGCGGGATAAATTAGTAATATATGTGTACCATCATTACGGAAGAATATGTAAAATATGGATCTAATGTTCTATGCTCTCATTTTTTGTTTGTGAGATCGACATCTTTTTTATATCATGGTCACAGCAATATCAGGTATATAATAGCAAGTGATCACATATATATTTGGGATAGGGATGTATCAGGGGTAATATTGGGTTAGAGGGATGATATGGATATCAACCCTGGTATATTCAAATATTTTCATTTTTACAAAATTTTTATTTTTTACAAAAAATTTCATTTTTTCGAAAATTTTCTCTCATTTAACAGAGGATGTAGATATTGCTCTTGACCACGGTATAGGTCGTTATTTACCTGTCTGGATCAAATGAGGAATATCCCTCGGATGAATTGTGATATTCCCCATATCAAATCCCTCCAGGTGAATAACTTCTTTATATTGCACACAATAAGTAAAATGAAGTTGGGCGTAGGTCAGATGATACATTTTTATTGGCACAACCCAGTTTAATGTGACACTAAAATAAATCACTAAACGAAACAAACTGACCTGAGCTCTGTAAAATGCATTAAGGTATTTAAATTCTCTGGTCGTTTGGTTCATTTCAATATTCATTCCAGTGTAGACGTCATACAGCTGCTGATGTCTCAGGTAAACTTGCTTCAATTCAGAGAGATAAGATTGAAGACCAACTGACTTTAATTCAGAGTCAGATATATCCCTAAAATTACAAAATGTATCCAATCTAAAACAGTATAAAATATATTTTGACATATAGGCAAAATCGATGGTAAACAAAATAATATCATAAATTATCATATCATAATTATGTATTATCATTATCAAACTCTGAATGGCAAACAAAATGTTGTATGCGCAACATGTGTGCTATACGCGCATGTTTACTAAGCACCAAAACGGAACGAAAAATAAAGTTAAAGAAGCTTGATAAAAAAGTATGCTGGAAGGAAAACTATTAAAGAGGCACAAAAGCCAGGATGAAACGAGGATACGTTTTGAAATCCTATCATAGTTTTCGATATATCTATTTCTTTAAACATCTAGGACTCCCTAATGATGGCGTAAAATGTTGTGAATTTATGAACATAATGTTTTAAATATTACAAAAGAATAATTATCAAGGTTTAACGTGATTAACATTTGTCTATGTTACGTCTAGCATGTACGGTAAGAATTATATAAACATTTAAAGAATTAAAGAACGAAACGTCACCATTGATTCGATTTTTTGTAGTCAATATTGAGCTATAGATCGTTGAGAAATAGAATATATGAACAATCCAAAAAGTCCCCATCTATCAATAAAACAAATTCTACTATTTGCACCTTTTCAATTTTAAAAGTCATTTAATTCAATTACTACAATATGTTTGTTTGTTTAATCTATATTTCCTCCAAACTATGGAGAGTTAAATGTTTTAAACCTTCAATGAATACTGACAAGGAGATCTTGATGATGAGTTTAAATGTGTTATGGTTATTTAGAATGAACATTACAAGTACTAGCTTCATTGTTTTGTAAACAAAATAAAAAATTGTAAATAACTTTACCTATAACCAACGCCAACTTTGTTCCTGGCGTCTCTCATTTTTGCAAAATTGAATAGTACATCTCGAATTTGGCAAAAATCCTTATTCCCTCCAGTACATTTCTTCACGGCGGTTTCTATCAATCCCTTGTACGTGTCATCGAATGAAACAATCGCATCAAGAGAATTGGAACTTATAGCGGAGTAAGCGTCAACAAAGAAGTCGGCTACACCGTTTTCCGAGTCGCAAACTAAAGTCACATAAAAAATGTTAATGATGCTGATGCTTCAAACCACAGTTTTTAATAGACTCCTATCTTGATTTTATTTTTGTTGTAACTCTGCGTATTTTTGTTAAGTGTTGTAAAAACTTATTTTGGATGTTTCTGGTTGTGGATTGAATTATATACGTTTTCATATGATAACATGTTTTGTGGATTTGATTTACATTCCTTTTCCTCTAGTATTTAAAATTGTGTTTAGGTTTGAGATATGTCTTTGTTCTAGCGTCGCAGCTTATATGTTTCATTATAACATTTTACAAGAAAATTACTTCTTGGACTGTACTTTGTTACTATATACATGTATATATATCTAGTACATCAACATATAAACGTAAACATTTTATACATATAAAGTCAACATGAATTGTGCTCATTTTAATAAGAAGTGAAGTCTTAAAATACAAACCGGAGCAAGGAAATCTATTGCATGGCGTGTTCAGAATACTGGGTCCGACACAGGCAGCTCCACCGAACATCGGGGCCGGGCTGTCGCATTCTCTTGTATAAGACATGGATCCATCGCCGCCACATGTTGCAGAACATATACTTGGATTTTTCCAGTCGCCCCAGAATCCATCAACTATGTAAAAAAGATAAAAGTGTATGTTTCCGCCTTTTGGAACTTCCTGTTGTTACCATCACTTTTTGACACGGGGTAAATATTTACACCTGAGATTGTACTATTAAAGTCTATCTCATTGAATTAGGAATCAACATTTTTTCTATAATTTGCAAAAAAATATTTGTGCATAAAAAAGCGATATGTTTCTATTGGAAACCTTCTGTCCCAAATGAATTTGCGGTTCAATATTTTTTCCCCAATTGTTGTAATTATTAAAGCTAGAAATCAAAACTTCAATGAGTTTTACTAGAATCTCTAAAACAAAAAAGATTCTATTTTAAACGTATTCTGTCAGGTGAAACTGATTTATCAACAACCACTTTCAACAGGTTTCTGATGCAATATGCGTGGGCGATTGTGCATTCATTGCTAAATTCACTCATTACTGCGCAATCCTGACAGAATGATTTATGTAATTTTATGTGTTAGCAACCATGGATTCAGAATCAGACATTCTGAAATCGGGATCGCCTTTGCATTATTCGTTGATTAGAAAAACAACAAACACTTTGAACAAGGGATCATCACAAATGCAACAAACATATTCAAATTAAATGTTGATGAAAAAGGTTATAAGAAAAAGTTTATTTAATTTTGACCCCATCAAATAATAGGGTAGGCGGTATAAAGATGAGGAAATTAAATTATTTGGGCATGATCCCATATTGAAATATATTTACTTGGACAAGGTCCCTTATTGCAATATTCATATTTCACTGTTTCTCCAATGCACGAATCTCTGGGTAATCTGTCTTCTGGATGTAGGCAAACACGGGTGAATGTCTTCACTCCTTCCTCGCAAGTGGTTGAGCACGTCTCACCTCCATCCCAAGGAGCCCAATGCGCTAAAACAAACCCATTATATTATGTTGAATTGTAAGACTGCCAACTAAAAAATATAAACTTACCAACGATACAGGGGTTCGTTTTTCGTACGATCGTAACTTACGATTCCGAGAAAACCATTTGTCTCTGTTTTGATGAACAATGACTTGCGACCAAATCGTAAGTTACGATGGTTTCAAAAACGGACCCCAGGGTAACGCAATTACCCAGATGCGAGTAGGTAGTTACCATTTTCACCACCAGGTGGCCTTTCCGGGGTAAATAACATGGCAGGTTACTAGAAAATTTCCTTTAACTTGAATATGCATCAGTTTTAGTGGTTCCATTTTCATATTATCCTTATGTATCTGATACAAATTAAAATATGTCCAGTAAAAGAAAATGTTATCTGTCCAATATAAGAAAAGATATTTCACTTTTTGTTATTTTATAACGTGGGGGCTATGGGAATCTCGCCGACCTAGAAGTCACATATTCAAACTTCACTGTTTGACTGCATTTTGAATTTTAAATGACGTAAATCAAAATTATTTCTACTCGCACCTAGTCTATTAAATCACTGAAATATATCCACACAGAATAATGGAAGAGTTGGAGTTCTCGTTAAGGACCAATTCATTGATAGTTTATCTCGTTCCAAGACCTTATCTTCGTTCTGGTCTTGTGCGCATACAATAGAATCACATGTTATATTTCAAGTCAAAAAATTCGGTGCTAGCTACGCACATATTTTATACCTGGCAATCGATTCTAATTCTAAACATCAGTCTAAACGATCTCTGCGGTAAATTGCAGTAATATACACTTTTGACAAAGTAGGATGCTTTCCACTGGTTGCAAAACTATCAATTTTATTGTGACATGGTATCCTGTTAATATAAAATGGTGTTTTGGAAAAAATGATGACCCTTACATCCATATAGTTCGATGTGATCAATTTGTACAGTGGCGCCAGTGACGACAAAAACCAATCTGTATTCTCCATTTGGAAGGCCCTCGTAAGTAATGCGTTGAGGTAAGAACACTAAAACATACAACGGGAATGCACTATATATTCATACTATCATTCGCACAATGTATAATAATGGCACAACATGGACCAATGGAGGGAGGGGCAACTCACTGGCGGATCTAGGGGGAGGGGGCATTGGACCAAAAAATATTTCGGGCCTAAATATTTTGAAGGGCCTCGATTAGTGGGTCTTATTGCATTACCTGTCCTCTTTTGGGCCTTTTTAGGCCAAATTATCAAAAGATGGGGCTCAAATTTTTATGGGGCCACAATTTTTTATTCTTATTTGAAATTTGCCCCCCGCCTGTTAGCTTCTTATATTGCCAGTGAAACAATACAGTTCGAGACCGGTTGCTTTCGAGCATTTGACTGAAAAACATGATAGCTCAATAGAAAGTGGTAAAATATCTATATTTTTCAGTAACCTGTCTCCTGTGTATTTTAAATGAAAGGTATCAAAATAAATAATAGATATATATGAGCCTCTCTTGGGCAGTACATTTAAAGGTTTGGGTAGGTTATGGCAAATGATTTCAGACGGTTTTATCTTGGATTGACTATTTTCTGACCATGAATACAGGTTTATCTTCAAGATCCATTCATTTTCTCAAAGAAAGGTATATATACACTGATGATTAAGTAATTCGGACTCATATATATTTTGCTAGCAATCAAACTAAAGTATCAACCTACATTTTCAAAGACGTTGACCTCATTTTCACCAAAATGCAATCATTTTTACAATGTTTAATGCATTATTATTCTTTATTTTGATGTATCAATTATCTCTTGAGAGGAAAACTGAATTCTTCAAAGAAATTTTGCCCATTTCCCCATTAAAAACCATGCTATCCATTGGTTTAAGCTCATTTTGGTCATCCAATTTCAGTATCTTTAAAGTTTCTTTGAGAATCCACTTTTCCTTTTAAGAAATAGAACATGCCTCAAAGCACATTCTAATTATGCATTCAACATTACAATAAAAGGTTGCATTTTTAGTGAAAATCAGATCAACATTTTTAAAAAATCATGTTGATTGGTCCATTGGCCGTTTAATATCACTTAGTTTGATTTTAATTATCATCATATAGGCTATACTTTTCTTAGAGAAAATAAATGGGCCAAAGATACACCCGTGTTCATGATCAAAAACTATTCATAATCCAAGTTAGGATCGTCTGAAATTGTTTGCGGTAACCTACGTGCTCCTTTGCAAAATGTTGTAGCGGATATAAAAGTCTACAAAGAAAAAGGCCTAAACTAGCGTAAACTGGTGTACAAGTCTTACCTGCCGGATTACGCCATATCTCTGTCCGCACATTTGTGCTTGCATCTTGACGAAATAGCAGGAGAGATCCTGCGGTCGCCACAGCAGACAACACTTTGAAACTTAGTTTAAATGTATAGTCGCTCGACCGATGAGTAATTATAGGAGAATACAATTCAGTAGGCTCAGTAGGGGAAGGCGATGTTATTTGGAAGTTGCAATCTGAAAACAAATTCAAACAAAAAATATTAAAATTCTCGTTTTAAATTTTGAAAGATACAAGAGCTGTCAAAAATAATTTGTGATCTGAAATTATTCAAAAATAAGTCATGAATGATAGTACAATAACGTCATTATAAAGGCCAAGTACTGTTTGCCAACCTGCCCATTATGGCTGGCCAAGTGGTACAACGTGCAAAGTTACGTCGTTATGTTTACGACCGTAAATGTACGACCGCAAGAACGTAAATATACGACCATAAGGTCGTTAATTTACGTCTTTAAGGTCGTTACGTAAATTAACGACCTCATAGTCGTAATGTTTACGACCGCAAGGTCGTACATAAACGACCGCAAGAACGTAAATGTACGACCATAAGGCCGTTAATTTACGTCCTTAAGGTCGTTTTTATCGGTTCCAAGAACGTAAATTAACGACCTCATTGTCGTAATGTTTACGACCGTAAGGTCGTAAATGTACGAACTCAAGAACTTTTAGAGGTCACTCATATCTTCTAATTAGCCACAATTCATACCAATGCATAGCATTCATCCTCCAATGTGTTTTGCCGAAAAAATCAAGAAAATCGGTTCATAAATAAGCGAGAAATGAACTTATAAGTGCATGAAAATGGTTCTGAGAAAAATGCATTTCAAAATTTTAGTCCTCATAGAAACCAATGGTACAATGATATCTAAAACATAATTTATTCTTCCTTTAACCTGGTTAGACAATCAACATTGGTTTTTATGAACGTCTAGCATATTTAGAAAAGATTGACTTCGAAAAAAAAAATTCAAAAAGTTTTTGGTACCTTAGTGACATCACTAATGTTTCAAAATATTTTTGATATGCTAAAACATTGAAGTGGCCCATTTAATATATGGCATCTTATTATTGAAACAGTGTGTCCTTTGTTCAATCTTTGCATTGGTGTTAAAAAGATAATCTTTTTTGAAATGCATTAAGAAATATTTGATGATTAAGAAAGGAGCATGTAAGTTGTGGCAAGCCATTTTCAAAGGGCTATATCTTTAGTTCGAAGAATAATTTAACCACAAAATCAAATGGTTCTGTTAGATCCATGTCTTATCTTCAATAAATGACATTAGGATGATAATCAAAATGATTGGATTATCTCTTAAGCTGTCCCTAATCCACCCATCCTCACCAATTTCCCCTAATTCAGACGCAATTTTCACCAAAAGTGCAGGCCTTTTTAATAATTTTTAGTGCAAAGTTGTATTGAACTTTCAGACATGATTTAAACTGTAAAGGGGAAAAGTTAATTATGAACCTACTTTTTGGTATTTTTTTTTTGTGATTTTTTCGGATTTTTTCTGATATTATAACCCAGCAAACAGTGACGTCCATGTAACGTCACTCATATGTGGTATATAAGTTCACTGGAGACGTTGTATATTTCCGTTATATAAACGTCAAAGCAACGTAAAATTGTGACATTCAGCAAAACGTCGGTGGATGGTTAAAAAATGACGTTGTAGTAATGTGTTAGTAAAGTTCGAAATTTGTGCTGGTGTGAAAAACGTAACAATGACGTTGAATTTTTACCAGTTTGGTTCATTTGCAACGTAATATAAACGATAAAATTTAACGTTGTCGTAACGTTTTTTAAATGTGTAAAATATTTGTAAGTGCAGGAAACATTACAAAGACGTTGCAGTTCTCACCAAATTGTTTCATTTGCTACGTAATATAAACGGTAAAATTTGACGTTGTCGTAACGTGTTTTAAATGTGAAAGATATTTGTAAGTGTAGAAAACGTTACAAAGACGTTGTGTTCTCACCAAATTTGGTACATTTGCTACGTAATGTAAACGGTAAAATTTGACGTTGTCGTAACGTGTTTTAAACGTGAAAGATATTTGTAAGTGTAGAGAACGTTACAAAGACGTTGCACTTCTCACCAAATTGTTTCATTTGCTACGTAATATAAACGGTAAAATTTGACGTTGTCGTAACGTGTTTTAAATGTGAAAGATATTTGTAAGTGTAGAAAACGTTACAAAGACGTTGTGTTCTCACCAAATTTGGTACATTTGCTACGTAATGTAAACGGTAAAATTTGACGTTGTCGTAACGTGTTTTAAATGTGAAAGATATTTGTAAGTGTAAAAAACGTTACAAAGACGTTGCACTTCTCACCAAATTGTTTCATTTGCTACGTAATATAAACGGTAAAATTTAACGTTGTCGTAACGTTTTTTAAATGTGTAAAATATTTGTAAGTGCAGGAAACATTACAAAGACGTTGCAGTTCTCACCAAATTGTTTCATTTGCTACGTAATATAAACGGTAAAATTTGACGTTGTCGTAACGTGTTTTAAATGTGAAAGATATTTGTAAGTGTAGAAAACGTTACAAAGACGTTGTGTTCTCACCAAATTTGGTACATTTGCTACGTAATGTAAACGGTAAAATTTGACGTTGTCGTAACGTGTTTTAAACGTGAAAGATATTTGTAAGTGTAGAAAACGTTACAAAGACGTTGCACTTCTCACCAAATTGTTTCATTTGCTACGTAATATAAACGGTAAAATTTGATGTTGTCGTAACGTGTTCTAAATGTGAAAGATATTTGTAAGTGTAAAAAACGTTACAAAGACGTTGTGTTCTCACCAAATTTGGTACATTTGCTACGTAATGTAAACGGTAAAATTTGACGTTGTCGTAACGTGTTTTAAATGTGAAAGATATTTGTAAGTGTAGAAAACGTTACAAAGACGTTGCACTTCTCACCAAATTGTTTCATTTGCTACGTAATATAAACGGTAAAATTTGATGTCGTCGTAACGTGTTCTAAATGTGAAAGATATTTGTTAGTGTAAAAAACGTTACAAAGACGTTGCGTTCTCACCAAATTTGGTACATTTGCTACGTAATGTAAACGGTAAAATTTGACGTTGTCGTAACGTACGTGTTTTAAATGTGAAAGATATTTGTAAGTGTAGAAAACGTTACAAAGACGTTGCAGTTCTCACCAAATTGTTACATTTGCTACGTAATATAAACAGTAAAATTTGACGTTGTCGTAACGTGTTTTAAATGTGAAAGATAATTGTAAGTCTAGGAAACGTTACAAAGTCCTTGTTTTCCCACCAAATTGGTTCATTTGCCACGTAGTGAAAATGGTTAATTGTAACGTTGTCAAAACATGGTTTGAATGTGAAAAATATTTGTAATTGTAACACACGTTACAAAGACGTCATTTTCTGACCAAAATGGTTCATTTTCAACGTAGTGCAAACGGTTAATTTCAACGTTGTCGAAACGTGTTTTCAATTGAAATGTAAAAAAATATTTGTAAGTGCAGGAAACGTTACAAAAAGACGCTATGTCCTCACGAAATTGGTTTATTTGCAACGTTGTCGAAACAGTTAATTTTGACGTTGACGAAACGGGGTTTAAACGTGAAAAATACATATACATGTATGTGAAAAAGAACGTGACAAAGACGTTGTGGTCTCAACAAATTCGTTTAATTTGTGACGTGAAGTAAATGTTAAATATATAACGAATATACATGTATGCCACGAGTTGTGGTAACTTTAAATACTGATCGGTGGAGGCACAGGCATATGTTGGCTCACACAGATGAACTTAACGTGGTAATTGAGAGTGAGAGTGGAAATATGATGTAAAGAAAACGTTTCTCCGACGTTGTAATTTTGCCATGGGTTATTGCTGACAAAAGTCTGACGTTCTGTCCCGGGGGGTTCATTCCAATATACCTCTTAATACCTATGTGCCGCGCCAAAGACCCCCTTTTTGAGCATTTTTTCCATGTCAATTTCCTCTCAAAATTGGAAGTTTCCATGTATTATTCCTCTCAGAGTTATAAAATTCCATATTTTCTTCCTCTGAACTTCATAGATGTCCATGTCGACTTCCTCTGGAGCTTGCCGGTGTAAAAGAAATTATGGTCCCCTGGGGATTATGGTCCCCTTTCTTAAAGGCCCTTACTGGCCCTGATTGTGGATACGATAATAAGGGAGAGTTGTATTTAGGTCACCATATAAATCAATGGAAAGTAGGACCATAATTTGATAGGACCTCCTACCCTTTTACACCGGGACTAAAGTTTGCGAATTATCGGTAAATTGACTAAAACTCCACTCTTCCGGCGATTTGTCAGACCTCGGGACAAAAATTTTAGTCCCTTTCAACAAGGGCGAGCGTTACAAACGGAAAGTACATCGTTCGCAAATTTGATGTATTTCTCGTTCGGCTTTTTATCGTATTCTGTTCTATCAACCAATAGAAATAGAGGAATTCCCGCGTCGAAATCAACATGGAGGACAGTTCCAAGTTCAAGAATATTGCTGCTTAAAAGCAACTTGGGAGCCGTACTGCCAGCTTTCGAAGGTAAGAATGATGCATGCATGTTACACAATCACCAAAGGTTAAAATGAAAGCATTCCATGGCCGGTACTTGCAGTGAGAACACAAATAATATCATGTGAAAGTTGGGATCGTTTCAATTTTCAAAATTTTTGTCAGTTGAAATTAGACTTTTGAATATTCTGATATTTGAATCGATGTTATTGATTTTCAATTTCATCACGATTTTCAATCATAATTCCTGGTTCATAATTTTCGTTAGGTCAATTACAAGGGGTCCAGGGGTCAATTAACCATCAGCGACTTTCAAGTCCGATCCGGTCCCTGGGATCTGGCGCAGAGGTGTTGATTGGATGGTGAAGTGTTTATGGCAAATGGTTTATGCAGTTATCTTAATCTTGATGGTGATCTCTGTTAGATCTACCTCTTTCAAAGAATAGACATTGCCCGGGGAGTCAGTGATTGCCATCTTTAGCCTGATAGATAATCATGATGGCAGAAATCGTCGATTTAATTCCTCACTTAAGTTACATAAACGGTTTTTCGAAAAACAGTTAAGATCTGCACTTTTAACTCGAACCGTTTGTGTAACTTAAGTGAGGAATTAAATCGATGATTCTGTTGTCTTCTGAGCTATG